TGACTGAAGCATTTCTAAGTAGATGCAGTAACTCCTGAAATAATCTCTAAGGTTATAAATATAATTCCTTTTCTCAAGGAGAACCAGAGGATCAGTTTAAATCAAAACATAAAATCTTAACATTAACAGTATAGTCACCTTAGGAATACTGGAGTGGGTAGCCATTCCCTTCCCCAGGAGATCTTCCCAACCCAGGGATCAAAGTAACATCTCCTGCATTGGCAGGCAAATTCCTTACCACTGAATCAGGAGGGAACCTTTAGCAATATTAGCCTTAAATTACAAGAGCTATAAATGGCTATATTCATATACCTTGCATACTTCCGTCGTCAAAGGAGCTAAACATTTAATTCTAGCTTCTTTGTTTCCTTTTCTCTGTTTTTAAAGAAGCAAAGAGAGATGAAGTCCAATTAAGATTTTGTGTGGGATTATTACCAACCAGTGATAATGGATTCAGTGAGTGGTCAAGGTATTCTGATCAGCTCTCTATCATATATCCATATACCCACTATAATGTTGACTCGATAAAGGCAGGAACAAAATGTGGCACATAGTAGTCATTCAAAATGTATATGTTGGATGAAAAATTCACGAAATCCATAGGGCAGGGATCTTTAATGTGAAACTCTTGGAAGTGCTTCAGGGTATATGTAAACTACCTAAAAGTATATGCTATGGCATGTGAATATAAGTATTCATGTGCTGAGGTTAATTTTCTGAGGAGTGAACCAACAGACTGCACGACATTTTCTTATATTGATGACATTTAAAAACCAAAATAAAAAATGTTATGGATCTTTGCCAAGGAGCTGCCACTAACCTAACCTGCATATGTTGCCTCTCACCTTCTCAACACTAAACATTTTTTAATACATTTACATTTAACACATTTAATACATTTTTTAATTAACAGGTTGTCAAGTGTTTTCTTTTAGACCAGTAGAAGGTTTCCTTAACCACTTGGAACAGAAATGAGTATAAAGGCAACCATCACATATCACTATCATATAACGTATCTTCCAGAAAACATACAGAAGAGACATCATGCTTGGCAGTTTGGGAATCATGTTGGGCTGGGGCAAAGTGTACTTGCAAGAAAACACAAAGACATCTTTTAATTTGAAGCCAGAGCAAAATAGATGTCATTTTCATAGTATCTTCATTTCTCTGCATCATTCTAAGACATAAAAAAGTGACTCAATTGAAATATAAAAGTCTGAACTCAATAAAAGCACACACCAAAAATTCAAAGGAGACCCACAAGGATAGAACACACAGAATGGATGGTAAGAGGAGAAGTGAGGTGGAGAGTTTTCCCCAAATATCCTGATATACAGTAGTGATAAAAATCACAGCAATGATGATAGTCAACACAACTGACAGTTAAGACCCTTCAGAAGAATCTAAACATTCTCACATGGACATGTCGAGCTGGCACAACACTGCTGTTTTACAGGCAAGATGTGAGGGCTCAGAAATTTAAGTCTTGTTCATGTCACAGTGATTAAATGGGGAGATTAAGGCATGTGCACATCTCCCACTTCTAAATGCTGCTTTTTCATATCACATTTTCCTTCAGATGGTAAAATAATAGCTAGGCCTTTCTTCTATCTAATTTCTGGATATGTTGGCAATTATTCATTGAAATTCATAAAAGCCAAGGCACTAAAGTCAATTTATTATTATCTCTATGCACATGAAATTAATGTGTTGGTTGATAAAGGTAAATTAGTACGTGGAAAACATCAAGGGAAGTAGCAAAATAAGATACTTGGCGTTAGGGTTCTTTGAAGCTATTTTAAAAAGTAAAATGCTATGTTAAGAGCTATGTGGTGTCTGTGTGTGTGTGTAATTATTATTCTATTGATTTACTGCACATATGTCAAAGAGCATCTGGGCATCTGTACAAGTTAAAACAAATCTATCCAGGAGCCAAGCCACATAGCCACAAACCCAGACAACTTGCCTCCCCCCTTGCCCCACCCTTCAACCTACCACCTCCCAAATGCAAACTGCGTGGTGTTAAAAGCCTTCCTTATGGATATGAACAGTTGAGTCAGTGACATCTGTCACTTTCACCATATTCTAAAAGAGAAGCCAAAGATAGCTAATGGCAAAGGTTTTCCAGAGTGCCAGAAGGCCTCTTCCCATTCTAGAGAAAGTCGTCTCCTCTTTCGGCAAGAGCGTTCAGTAAACACTCAGGCATCTACCTGGAAGGAGCTATCACTATAACCTCTTCTAAGGATGAAAACCATACCTTTCACAGGAATGTAAACTCAGTTCTTTCCTTGTAGGGCACAAGGAAACATCTTACCTACTGAATACTCACCCACTAACCCACATGAGGTAGGGAGACTCTTATTTTCCTCTGTTTTGCCAAGAAGCAGGAAAATCACTTTAATGTACTTTACTGGGCTGCCAAAAATCCTCTGCCTATGATCCAACAATTATAGCTAATTTCAACCTAAATTGCTTCTTCTAAGAGATGGATACCATTAGATAACTCTTTCCATTTCCATTTATGAAGACTTTAAAAAAAGCAAAAAGGCAAAAGAAAATTCCTTGTATGTTTCCAGCTGATAAAATCATTAATCTCACACTCCCAACTTCAAAGGAGAAAACCAGAAAATCATCTCACTTTCTCTACACACGGAGAATAATTTTTTCTACTTCAAAGTGCCGTCTCTTTATTGGGTCATTTTAATTATTGAATGTGGGATGGAAGCTATCCAGATAATGTCACCACTGTCTTTTTCATGAAATATATATAGGTCTAATTTGAACTACATTAAATTCGAGAGATGCAAAATACAAGGGGAAAGAATAAGAAAAGGGAAAGAGGCTGGGGAATAGAGCACTCATCAATACAAGGCAGTGAAAGGAAGATAGTAAGTTTTTCTAAGCTGACTTTTCTCAGTCTTTCCTCCTGGAGGGGAACTATCAAGAAGCCTGGGCCATATCTCAACAGACTGCCTTGCATCTTAAGTTTCCTTCTACCCAATACACAGCAATAGTAACTTTATTAGTAGTGATAGTATTACTGTCAATGTGAGACAACTGTGATACAATCTGTTGCTGTGTGAACAACCACTTTAAAGAAAAGCTTGTGATCATAGAAAGGAGGTTAGCAAATCTGGCCCTGTTCAGAGTAAGACTGTTAGAGAGAAGACAAGCCAGGCATGCAAATTCCCAATTGATCGTCTCACCAAGAAATCACACACCATAAATGGCCAACTTTTTCTGTAAAGGACCAGAGAGTAAATATTTTCAGCACAAAAGCAACCAAAGACAGCACATAGATGAAATAGTATGGTTGTGTTCTAATAAAACTTTACAACGTCAGGCAGAGGGCAGGATTTGTCCCAATAAGCCAATAGACAAGTGCTACATGGAAATGTTCTATAGCTGTGCTGTCTCATACACTAGTCTCTAACTACATATGACTATTAAATACATGAAAAGTGGCTAGTGTGACTGAGAAGCTACAGTCTAAATTTAACTGCACTTTAATTAATCTAGATTTGAATAGACCCATGTGCCTTGTGACTATAGTATTAGACAGCATAGTTCTATAGGATTAGATAGCATAGTTCTATAGTATATATTATACTATATAGTAAAATATATACTATATATTACTATATATATAATAATATATAGTAATATAGTACAGTATTAGACAGCATAGTTCTAAGTTCACTGCTATTTCCTCAAATATTATACAAGTCAACCTTCAATTAAGGTATAGTTCACATGTATGCCTTAAAAACTTACATATCCAAGCTTCTACATTACAGTCGAACTATACACAACTAAAAATGATATTTCTTAAATGTAAAATATCTACATCATTGAGGCCAAAATGACAGTTTTGGCTTGAAGCTACCAATTAGCTGCCTACTGACCAATGAAGTCCATAGACCGATCAGGTCCATGCCAAGACCTATCCAACCTGGAGCCTGTCTCCTTTCTCCTCTGTACATTCTCCTGCACCTTGACTGAGGGCACAGATCTGCTCTATGGCCCCAGTAACTCCTACAGAAAATCCAAACTTCCCCAAAGACCCCAAAATGTATACATGCAAAGTCATGGCTTCAAGAGCACAAGAAACAACATGCAACTCAAGTAGATTGCCTTCTAAAGTAATCCATGTAAAACAGTGCCTCAACACAAAAATGAGGGAGATTCACTGTATTCTCTGTTATTGACTCCATGTAATAATTTATATTCTAGTAACTGTTTTATTTACATAATAACTAGCTTGTGTTTAGGATTTCTTAGCAGACCCAAAGATATAATTAAAGGAGAAGAAGCAAGAAAGTAGGATACCAACAAGGATTTAGCTTTTTTTTTTTCCTAAGTATGAATAAGAAATAAAAACAAAAAAATCACATTTCATTTAAGAAACTGTGTGAATAAGTTGAAACAATATCAACTTTCTTCAAAGGGTAAAATACTCTTGAAATCTGAGGACTCTCTTTAGGAAGTAAGAAACGTAAGGGTGCCAGGAGTGAAGCCTACACAGATACACTGTACAGGAAGGTAGAGGACATTCTGATGCTTTTATGATTTTTGATAAAATGAAACCATTTAAGGTACAATCATTATCTGTGGTTCCAATATCCAAAAATAAAACTACAAAAAATGAAAAAAAAGAAGAAAAGCAAACTGTGAAGCAAACTCCTTTGGTGGCACAACCTAACACAAATCAATAGGAGGTTTCTTATATAAACTTTAATTATTCTACTTAAGTGTAGAAAAATTTTCTCTGCATAATTATTCATATATTTGTTTATGGGATATTGCTGCAACCCCACTAGGGGTGTTAGACAATCTGTGATACATGCAACAGATCTTACCTTTCCAAAATCCCCAAGATATCTGATATCCAAGATGTACCTGGCCCCAAGGATTTGGATAAGGGAGTCTTCTAATGAAAGCTGTTTGGGTAGGATATTTGCTGTCAATTCAATGTCTACTGTCGTGAAACAGTACCTTACCTCAGTCTGAAGAATGGCAGCTCTCTGTTCTTTGGCAGTAAGTGACTCTTTAAGCACTTCAATGTGTTGCTTGCAATCTGAATTCTGATTGCTAAGAGTTTCAAGCTTTGTTTGTAAGGCAAGAAGTTCTGACTCTTTCTTTGAAAGCTCCTGCTTCAGCTGATCAATCTGTAAAACAATGAAATTACAAAAAATTATAAGCCACAGCTCCTTCTCTTTACATTTGAGGACTACTGAATTCTCTTAAATTTTCAAGAGCTAGTGATCATTAATCCAACATGGCAGACCATGAGCTTAAAAATACGGCCTTGGGAGTCACTTAGTCTTAGGGGTCTGGGGAGGATCTTCAGAGGTGACTGACAATAGAAAACAGGAAAGGTAAAGTCCACAAGATGCTTTCTATCTTCCACACCACTGAGAACCAAGGTTCACAATGGAATGAAGGCTTCCTGGCCAAACCCACAGCTCATCCAAGAAAAAATAAGGTCTACTGACCATGGTCCTCAGAAGGGTCAACAGGGAGCTAACAAAGGTAATTACCCAGACAGAACCTGGACCTTCTCTGATACTACACAATAGAAATGATCATCAGGAGCATCATTCGACAGAAGAGAACCCTCACCCCCAGAAAGAAGCACTGAGGGATCTTTTCTCTAACATTACATATTAAAAAGATAAAAAAGAACATCAAAAATACATAAAAGAGAAAAATAATACAACATCCATTATTCAATTACTTAAAAAAAATCACTAGAACTATCCATATCCCAACCCATTTCTATTTCCTTTCCCTCCCTTGAAACAATCACCACCCTAAATTTTGTGTTCATCTTTTTCTTATTTGTCTTTCAAGCTTACCTTGTTTTTTTGCACCTGTAAATTCTACACTATTTAATTTCGCATGGTTTTTAACTTTATTTGCACTGTGTTTTTTTCTTTTTTAGCTTTTTGCTTTTTTTCTACTCAATCTAATATCTTCAAGATTAAATCAAGTTACTGTTTGTACAATGTGTTCACTTTCATTTTCATTAAAGTACAAGCTTGCTCCTTGGAAGAAAAGCTATGACCAACATAGACAGTAGACTAAAAAGCAGAGACATTACTTTACCAACAAAGGTCCATCTAGTCAAAGCTATGGTTTTTCCAGTAGTCATGTATGGATATGAGAGTTGGACTATAAAGAAAGCTGAGCACTGAAGAATTGATGCTTTTGAACTGTGGTGCTGGAGAAGACTCTTGAGAATCCCTTGGACTGCAAGGAGATCCAACCAGTCCATCCTAAAGGAAATCAGTCCTGAATATTCATCAGAAGGACTGATGCTGAAGCTGAAACTCCAATACTTTGGCCATCTGATGTGAAGGGTTGACTCATTTGAAAAGACCCTGATGCTGGGAAAGATTGAAGGCAGGAGGAGAAGGGGATGACAGAGGATGAGATGGTTGGATGGCATCACCGACGGGATGGACATGAGTTTGAGTAGGTTCCGGGAGTTAGTGATGGACAGGGAAGCCTGGCATGCTGCAGTCCATGGGGTCACAGAGTCAGACATTACTGAGCGACTGAACTGAACTGAACAGTATCCCACTGTAAGATTTCATCAAAATGTATTTGTCTACTGTGCTGTTAACAGAAATTTGGGCTTATTTCCAGGTTTGCTATTATGAAAAATGCTATTCTGAACATTCTTATACATAATGCCTGGTACACACTGTAAAAAATAATCTAGGAGTTAAATAGCTGGAACACAGAGTAAATAGCTGGGGCACAGCTTCGTATTCACTAGATAAAATTAAGTGTTTTCTAATGGACTTAATTTCTATGGTCACAAGCAGTGTGTAAATGTGCCAATCACTCCATGTCTTTGCAATATCATATGTCATTGGAGTTTTACATTTTGGCCAGGAGTTATGGTAGAAGACCTCCAGAAATGACTGCCACCAATTTCTTCATACTTACACACATATGCCATTCCTCACAACTAAAGGAGTCTATTTACCCTCCTCTTGAGCATGGACTGGACTGTGACTTGCTTCAGCTAGCAAAATGCAGAACAAGTGTCAGTATGTGTGTTCTAGCCTCTAGGAGAACTAGCAGCTTTAGCTTCCTCTCACTGGAAGCTAACCACCAAGGCAGAAGTCCAACCGCCCTGTGACCACTTGGCTGTGAAGAAGTCTATACCAGCCACACTATCAAGCCACGCAGAAAGACAGAAAGGAATTTTTCTGATATTCCTGGTGGAACTTGTGGCTTCTGTCTTGTTCCTGGTCTTAAAGGGAAGAATTTCAATGTTTCATCATTAAGCTCGGTGTTTGCTTTAGCTTTTTAAAGGCATTCAAGTTTCAGAAAGTTCCCTTTTATTACAACTCTGCCAAGAATTGATTTTTTTTTAATCATTAAGGAATGCTTAATATTATCAAGCATTTTTCTTGCACCTCGTGATTTATCACATTTTCACCTTTAATACATTATAATAAATTATATTAATGGGTTTTTAAAATATTACTCTCCATGCATTACTGTGAAAAATTCCACATCGTCATGATGCATTATTATTTTTATATATTACTGGATTTCCCTTGCTAATATTTTGTCATCATTTCTACATTTATGGGCAAGACTGATTTGTAATTTTCCTATCTTGTGCTATCTTTATCAAGTTTTAGCATCAATTTAGCCTTCCAAATAAAGTAGTCAATGTTCACTCTTTTAGTGTGTTCTGAAATGATTTGTGTAAAACAGAAAATTTTTTTTTCACTAAAGTTCATTAAAAATCACCCAAAAAACCATCCGGAGCTGGCATTTTCTTTCTCCAAAGACCATTCCTTACTTCATCCATCTTTAATGATTATAGGAATATCTATGTTTCTAATTATGTGAATCAATTTTGCTAAGTTGTTTTCATTAAAAAACTTTCATCTAAATTTTCACCCTGTTGGCAGGAAGTTTTCATAAAATTCATTTATATTTGATATTATGGTATCTATGAGTATCTTTTTTTCATTCCTAGTATTTTTATTCTTAATTATTTTCTTGATGAATCTCAGCAGAAGCATGTCCCATTAAATAACCTCTTCAAAGAGCCAATTTTGGTTTTGTTGATCATCCAACGTTTTTATTTTCTATTTCATTAGTTTTGGCTCTAATTTTAAAATTATTTTATTCTTAATACTTTCCTTGGGTTTATTCTATTTTCTTTTCCTAAGCTTAAGTTGGAATATTACCTCACTAATTTTCATTCTTTTTTCTTTCCATGTATGAGCCTTAAGAGTATATATTTTCCTGTCAGTATCATTTTAGCTCACACTCTCTAGTTTGATATACCTTGACATTACTGTACAGCCTTAAATATTTTCCAATCTCCATTATTATCCCTTGACGCATGAATAACTTAAAAGTATGTTTCTTAATCTCCAAATGAGTGTTTCCTAGTTCTCTCTCTCTTTTTTTTTTATGTCTTACTTCTTCGTGAGTAGAGAACATGGTCTGTTCTACAGTATTCATTTGAAATTTGGTGTTATCTTGCTTTATGCACAATATGTAGTCAGTAATCATAAATGCATTCTGTATACTATTTGCTTAAAAAGATTATGGACCCAACAACTGTTGGCTGTAATATTCCATATATGTGCATGACATCTGATTACACTTTTATTTTTAGAACATTTCCATCATCTTAATATGAAACTCTGTAAGTAAAAAAAGTCATTCTTCATTCCTCATCCTCTACACCTAGCCCTAGGCAGCCAATAATCTACATTATCTCTATGGATTGGCCTTTTCTGGGAATCTCATATAAATGCACTCTTCAATATATGTATTTTGTCACTGGCTTCTAAAACATAGCAGAACATTTCAAGTTTCATCCATGTAGCATGTATAAATACTTCATTGCTCTTTATAGTTGAGTAATATTTCACTGTATGAATATACATAATTGTTTCTATCCATTCACCAGTTGATGGACACCTAAGTTGTTTCCACATTTTGACTATTAATAATGCTGCTAAGACCATTCATGTTCAAGTGTGTGGAGACATATGTTTTCATTTCTCTTGGATATAAACACAGGTGTGAAACTGCTAGGTCACATGGTAACTATGTTTAGCTTTCTGAAGAGTTTCTAGCTGTTTTACAAACTGACTATACCATTTTTTTTTCATTTATCTTTATTAGTTGGAGGCTAATTACTTTACAATATTGTAGTGGTTTTTGTCATCCATTGACATGAATCATCCATGGATTTACATGTATTCCCCTTCCCAATCCCCCCTCCCACCTCCCTCTCTATGAGAAACATGAGGGTTCTAATTTCTTTAAAACCTCACCAGCACTTGTTGTCATCTGTCTTTTCACTCATCACCATTCCAGTGAGTATAAAGTGGTTATCTCCTTATGGTTTTGCTTTCTCTAATGATTAAGACGCTATCAAACATCTTTTTGCATACTTATTAGACATTCATAGATCTCCTCTGGACAAATGTTCTGTTAAGACTTTTTCTTTGCCTCTAAGATTTTATGTCTTTACTTTGATGCAAATAGAGAGATTTCATTTTATTTACCCTATTTTGGGTATTTGAAGACTTCTGAATTTGTAGACTGATACCTGTGAAAATTCTCAGCTTTTATCTCTTTCATCTCTTCAAATATGGCTTCTGAATAACAACTGTCCCTATTCCATCTCTCTTTCCTCAAGAATTTGGGTTAGATTTGTGCTAGATCTTCTTATTCTATCTTCTATGCATCTTTAATGTTTTCTACCTTTTTATCTTTTACTTAATTTCTTCTGCCCTATTTTCTAGTCTATTAAGTTTCTCTTCTGCTATGACCACTCTAAGATTAAATGTATTTCTCAAACTTTTAAATTTCCATTTTTATATTTTTCCATTTCTAGGTCATTTTATATGCTTCTTTTTAAATTTCCTTGGTATTTTTTATAGCCTCTTGCCCTTTAGCCATATTTTCAACTCCTCCTTTTATTTAACATGTTAAACATACTTATTTCATAGTGTTTGTCTCAAAATTTCAATTTCTGAAGTCTTTCTCTTCTAATTCTGCTGTTAATTCTTTCTACTGGCTTTTGCTTATGGTGGCTCGCTTTCTTGAAGGTTCTGTAATTTTTTTTAATTTTTACTCACATGTTTTGGAACTTTTTCTGGAGAAAAATACT